TAAAGCCTATCCCCGACGTTACGCGAGATTTCTGGTCTTTTAGCGACAGACTCGCCGTTTTCGCCCTTAACAACATGTTTCTAATAGGACTATTGGCCTTGTATTACTCAGATTGTATTTCCAAAAGCTTCCTTTTGGGATTAAATATACCTGACCTAATTTCTATTTTACTGAAATATTTTTATCTTCCAGAACAAGGTTTGCAAAGTTTATTATTCTCTCAGTTATCTTCATGGAGAGCTTTTTGAGTAATATGTATCTGATACCTAATATGCTAGGAGCTGTGCCATTTTGCGTTTTGCCTAAAGCTTGTGTCCATTCTTCTTTTCTAATTGGGCTCATTACTTGTTCGTATATAAATGGATTTATATTCTTCTTCGGCATATACTCATTTTCCCACTCCTGGCTCATCTCTTCGAACTTTTGGTTTCTTTTTCAGAACTGTTTTTGAAAGTGTAAGGTAACTTGCTGCTTCAGCTTAGTCTCTCCATTGATGAGTTCAAAGTTCTGGTAATCAGATTCTTCTCTAACCAAAACTCTATCTAGCGTTATTTTGTTGTATACTCTATTCAGCAAACTTTGTAGCATTCTTTTTTTATCTGTTTTAATCATACTAAATCTTTGTTCTATTTTATTTCTTATTTCTTTTTTTTTTCTTTTTCATTCTTCCTCTTCTACTCTTCTTCTTAGAATTTTTCCCCAATTTCTAAGTTTATTTATCTTAACCTGGCTTCAATATTCTGGTATTTGTGAAATTTGTGTTTAATATATTAAGTTTATACTTTCAATTTGTATGTCAAACTTTCCTCTATTGCCATTATCTATTTTTTCCCCATAACAGTTACACAATTTGTCACACTATTTTGCTTGTAAATTTATATATATATAAAATTATAAAAAAACATATAAAATTACTATAAACTTTAATTCTGTGATGTTTCTTCACCTACATATTAATTTAAAATTAAATTGTGCAACAATATGTAACACGAAATAACGAAAAAAGTGAGCTTAGAAATCAAATTAAAATTTTGTAATTTTTGCAAATTTTAAAAATGCAACTCTATCAAAACTAAATATTTACTAATTTTAAAAGACGAATTATATGTAAAATTTTATGCTAAACAAAATTTTTCTTAGTAGCAAAATAGGTTGTATTAGTAAAAAAATAAGTTATCTATATACTAATATTATATAGTTATTGGATGCTTCGCATCCAATAACTGGAGTTATTTGGCATTGTGTAATAATTATATCGTGATCTGCATGATCACAATATTATTGTTACACATGACAAATAACAAAAAGTATCTGTAGCCAGAATTTGATCAGGAGATGTCTGGGCCCCATAGGGGCCCAGATATTGACCGGTCAAATTCTGGCTACAGATACGACAGTTATTAGTGCGTAGCATCCAATAACGATATTATCTGTCAGATTACAACGATCAGACATAACATAAAGCGAATAGAATTGTTAATAAAAAAAAAAAAAAGTAATTAATAAATTGTATCTATATTTTATTCAATTCAATTTTATGTACTAACTATAATGAAAATTTGTATAAATTAGACCACATGGACAAGCGACAGTTAAGTAGTATAATTTATTTATCATTATGATATATTTAAATTTTTTTTTTAATTATTTAATTTATAGCGACAAAAATTTAGATGACGTAATGACGTAGTTTATTCTGTATATAAACATTTAACTGATCCAAGATCGATCATACTTCTCTCTCCTTCCAATTGCTTAATAATAAACATGGATATGACAAAAAATAAATACTATAAACCTACCAGTGCTGAAATCGACGAAATAATCAATGGTACAGTTCCAGAGAATACTCAAAAGGCAACGGCGAAATGGGTAAGGATTTTAGAAAATTGGCAGCACGATATAGGATATAAATATGGAATTGAAACAGTTACAAATAAGAACCAGCTTGAACAAGAGATGACCGAGTTCATTCTGGGAATTCGACAAGTCAACAAAAATAAAGAATATGTGCCATCATCTTTAATCAACTATATTAAATTACTCAGTGTTTATATTCTAAAGCATCCAAATAATATCAAGTCTTTTAACATATCCAATAAGAAAGAATTTCCTCATTTATGGGAAGCACTAAATGGAAAAATGAAAAAACTCAAAAAAGAAGGTTTAGTGTCATGTCACCATGACCATCTTACAGATACTGAGTTACAAACCATATTTCAACATTATATGGTTGCTAATAATACCCCACAAGGCTTACAGTATCGAGTCTTCATATAGTGCTGTTTGCTGTTTCAACCTCATGGCGGTGAATATTACAACATGAAGATAGAACAGTTTGAATTTTCTTCTAACGGTGAAATTCATTTCAAAAAGTATTCCCAAAAAAATGACCAAGGTGGTGTGGATGGTAATTCAGATGCGCTTATTATATCTGTTCCACCTGATCCCAAAGGTTCTCAAGGCCCTGTCTACAATATTAAGCTTTACCTTTCAAAGAGACCATTGAATTCTAAATGTCTATTTCTATATTTAAAAATTAACAAAAAAATTAATAGTAAGTATTGATTGACTTTTTAATTTATTATGTGATTTTATGTATATTTATACCTGTGAAATCATAAAAATTAAATATTAAATTAATTTTTATTGAATTACTTATCTTAGATTATTCGAAAGATCTATGGTATCTCGATAAAAAATTAGGAGAGAAGTCTTGTGGATCTTTTATGAAAGACATTTGTACTACAGTAGGAATCGACATAAAAGACCGTGATATTGTCAATTACTCAGGCCGATCAACCCCAATTACTTCCCTTTTTCAGAAAGGTGTCATAATGGGTACTACCATGTCCATTACTAGGCATAAAAGCGAATCATCTTATTGAATTTATACTTGCCCCTCTGACAAACAAAAGGAAGATGCTTTATCATTGTTAATTGATAGTATCAGGACATTGCCTTCTGATTTACAAGAATCAGAAGCTTTAGCCAAGGTTAATAATTTGAATTTAAATATATACATTTTAAAATTTTATTAATGTTAAATTACTTGTAGGATGATGAAGAAGAAATTATTATGGATTCGAAACGAGTACACTTTGAAATTTATTGTAATATAGTGATAAATATAATATTAATATTTATTTTATTTTTTTTTTAGCCCAAGATTTCCTCCTTTAAAGCGGCATCTGGATTTAATCCTAATCTAACTAAGCCATTTCGACAACCCTTGCACAAAACTACTAAAATGAATTTGCCATTACATATCAATGCCATAAAGCGAAATCCTACAATTGGTGGACGTCAGAATATTTATAAAGCTTCTCGTAAAGATGAGAAAGAAAATTATTCTGAGGATACTTCTAGTATACCGATTGTTAAAAACTACTATATAACCGCAACACATGTTAATATCAATTAAATGAATATCAATATTACCATAGTAGTTGCATTTTTATTGAGAAATGTTGTAATTAGTCAATAGCGATAGTAATAGAATTGTAAAGCATAAAAAAATAAATTGAATGCATTGAATTAAAAGTACATTGATAAGCCGATAAATGCTTTTGCCGAATAACCAAATAAGCTATCATTTTTTGCTAAAATAACCAAAATAAGCTATAGATTTTTGCCAAATAACTAATTTAAACTTTTTTAAGCCAAATAACTCGAGTTATTTAGTAGTCCGATCATAGTAATCTGACGAATAATAAAAATTACATATTTTTTATATAAAACTTTTTTTTTTACTTAAATAACCTATTTTTTGTGTCTAAATAAAGTTGTTCA